GCGCCCTCCCTCCTACGCGAGGGGTCGGCTGGCAAGAGGCCCGAGGAGGAGACGGTAGACGGGAAGAGGTCGAAGTGGGGACGGAGAGAACGGGGACGAAGACAAGCAGCAGTCCTTACCCATGTTGGACAGGGCGCGCTGTCGGCGTCGGTGCTGGCGCTGTCCCTTCGAGGCAGACGGTGGCCTGCCCGACAGCGGCTGCTGTCGGCGCTGGGCAACGCATGCGTTGTTTGGCATCGTGACAACTCTTCCGTACGAGGGGGGCCCGGTAACTCGCAGGCTCTTTGGAGTCACGCAGCAGATCTCGCCCGGCGTGTGGCCCAGCGTCTGGGGAGGCTGCTTTCCGTGCCCTGGGGATCGTGGGGAGTGAATTTTGGGTGCATCGCCTGTCCCGCGAGAGGGGGCTGAGACAGGAGCCGGTGTCTCGGGCAGAGCGAATCGTCGGAGGTAATTCTAGGGCATGCCGCCGCCAAGGACACGGCTCCGGACGAACAGTGACGAAGCGCTTTCGCCCGCCCTGAAGTGGGTTGCGGATTGTATACGACGGCTCTCAGTCTCAAGCCATCCTGTGGTGTTGGGTCCTGGCTTTGAAGAGACAGTGCCCCGCGTCACTCCTTCCTCTTTCCTCCTTCCTCCTCCCGCTCCTCCCTCCTCCCATCCTTGCCTCTGCCTTCCGCACGACAATTTCGTCACATCCCTCACACCGTTCGTGGCTCCATAGGGGCGTCCATCAAGGGCCGCAGTGGCAGGGTTCGCATGCGGTTCCCCGCCCATCGCATGTCCTTTTCAGCGCACCCCTCAGACGCTTCGTGGCCCCAAGGAGGGTTCCACTGAAGGCCCCAGTGGCAGGGTTCGCACGCGGATCCCCGCCCACCGCATGCCCATGTCGGAGCACCCCTCACGCTTCGTGGCCCAATAGGGAGCTCCACCGAAGGCCCCTGTGGCAGGGTTCGCATGCGGCTCCCCGCCCACCGCGTACGAATTTCGGCACACACACAAACACACACACAAACACACAAACACACAAACACACACAGGCACACACACAGACACACACAGACACACACTGACACACACACACACAGGCACACACAGAGACACCCACGCAGACACACAGAGACACAGAGACACACAGGGACGCAGAGACACACAGAGACACACAGGGACGCAGAGACACACAGAGACACATAGAAACACAAAGACACAGAGACACACAGAAACACATAGACACACGGGGACACAGAGACACACACATACAGACACACACAGACACACACACACCACACACACAAAACACACAACACACGCACGCAAGCACGCACGCACGCACACATCGCAACACACACAACACACACAACACACAACACACAACACACACCACACAGAACACACAGCACACAATCCACAACACACACAACGCACAACACACACAACACGCAACGCAACACAGAACACACACACCACACACACTACACACACTACACACACTATTCACACACCCCACACACCACACACCACACACACCACACACACAACATAGAACACACCACACACAGCACACACAACGCACACAACAAACAACACACACAATACACACAACACACAATACACGCAACACACACACCACGCACACCACGCACACCACACACGCCACACACCACACACAGCACACAACACAAACAACACACACCTCACACAACACACAACACACAACACACAACACACACAACACACAACACACAACACACAACATACAAGACGCACAACACATTACACACAACACGCACGACACACACAACACACACACACACACCAAACACACAGCACACACAACACACACAACACAACACACAACAATCAACACACAACAGACACAACACACAACACACACACACAGCACACACACACACACCACACACAACACACCTAACACACCCACAGCACACAGCGCACAACACACAACACACACCACACACAACGTACACACACACGCACGCACTCACGCACGCGCGCGCACGCACGCACGCAAACACGCACGCACGCACGTACGCACACACACACACACACACGCACACGCACACGCACACGCACACGCACACGCACACACGCACATACACACACACACGCACGCACACGCACACGCACGCGCACACGCACACGTACACGCACACGCACACACGCAAGCGCAGCCGCGCTTGGGTTGCCAGACCGGTCTTTTGTCAACCGCCCGTGCCAGGCAGCGGGGCAGGCTGCCGAGGCCGCCATGCTCGCCCGCGGGACTCCTGACCGTCTCCTGGCCAGCGCCGAGGACCGCCCTGGCGACCGGGCGCCGAGCGGGGCACATGCTTTGGGTGCTGATCATGCTGCCGCGGTGGCCGCGCAGCGAGGCGAAACTGATTCGCCCGACGACGCGGAGCCTGGCGTGACGAGCCTTTCCGCCGCACAGGCGGGCTCATCCCCGCGCTGGCGACGCCCGGATCCTGCGCCTGACCCCTGGCTGGACCAGGCCTCCCTCAGTGTCGAGCTCTTGGAAGGGCGGCTAACGGATATAGCCAAGGTATGGCTACCTGAGGGACAGCTCTTGCAGGAGGGGGGGGGCCAGGCTGGAATAAGGCTTGCGTGTCGTACGTGATGCATGCCTTGGCCCAGCCGCATGCGGCGCCTTTGCTGGGCTGGCTGGCAGGAGCAAACCTCGCCCGACGGCGCCGCCAGCTGGCCGAGGAGATTTGCCACCGAGCTTGGCTGCGCTCGATCTCTGGCCTTCGGCGCGCGCGGCGCGAGAGTCCAGAGGTGATAGCGGCGCGCTTTCGCATTGCGCGCAGTTTTTTTGGTTAGCCGTGACGGGGGGCGCGTTGGGCAGCTGCCGCGCCGTTAGTTGGTGGACCCGCTGGTGGAGCGGTGGCAGGGGTTGGCGGCCCGCAGGCCGCGCGACGACGGCCCAGCGGGCGGCAACATATCGGAAGCCGACGATGATGACATCGCGCCGCGCCCCGAGGCTGGCCCCTCTCAGCCTGCTGGTCAGGGCCCCGTGCCTGACCGTGCTGCGCGCAAGGGGCCTGAGCGCGGTCGGTCCAGCTCGCCGGCTCGCGAGCTCAACGCTGGGCCGTACCCCAACGTTGGCCCCTCGGCGCCGCCGCCCGCCGATCATGGAGACGCTGGCGCAGGGGGCGCGAGCGTGCCGTCCCCTCCCAGCCCGGCGCAGGGGGCCGCGGTCTCGCCTCTCGTGGGCGCCCTCGTGGTGTGGGCGATTTCGGCCGCAGCGGCTGCCTGCGGGGCCGAGGGCTCCCAGGCGGATCCGCAGCTGGGCGCGGCGCCTGGCGCAGGAGACGAGGCGACCCCCCCCGATGGCCTCGCGGCGCGCGAGGGCGGGGGGCAGGCCGCCCACGGCGCTGACGCGATCCGCCCTGCGCCGAAGCGCCCCAAGCGGGCGCCGCGGCCGCCGCGCGCTGGCCCGCTCCTGGCAGCGTTCGGCCCGATGAAGGAGAGGTTCTAGGCGCGCGCCCGAGGTGCGGAGGCCCTGCGCCTTCGATTGCCTCTGCTGGGAGTGAAGCTCGCCCTGCTGGTTCGGCGGAGGCGGCGGCGCCCCCTGGCGCTGCCTCGCACGTGCGCGTGCCTGGCGACGCCGAGAGCTACAGCCAGCCGATGTCGAGCGCGAGGTCTCGTGGCTGGATGGCCGAGAGCGAGGCCGCGGTGAGCCGCCCCGTCGAGCGACCTGCCTTGGACGCGAGCACTGGCGCGGCGTCCGAGGGGGCAAAGCCCCCCTCTCGCCCAGCTGCTCCCCGCCCCGCTGCTCTCGACCACGGGGAGGGGGTGTCGTCGTCGGGTGGAGTTGGCGTCGGGTTGGGAGGGTGTGCGAGCGGCCCCGCCAGCGCTGGTGGTCCGCCTGCGCATGTGCTGGACCGCGGCCACGAGCTCGTCACGTGTTCGACGTTTGTGGTTTGCCGTCGTTGCGGGGCCTGCGTGTCCCGCGCGGCCAGACGGCTCCAGAACGATTGCAGCGGGGCTCTCCCCCCTTTGAGGGAGTGCGACGCTGCGGAGAATGAGCGGCGCCGACGTCGCGAGCGCCTCCTGGCAGGGCTGCGCCCCCGCACGGGTGCCAGCCTGAGCGGTGCCCCTCGCGGCCTTTAGGGGCCCCGGGGCGGGGTCCCTCGTGGTCTTGCTCGGTCTGGGCGGCCCGTGTGGCTGGGGGGTCCTTGGGCCCCGTCGCCCGGGCTGTCACTTGTGCTTGCGCAGGTCTTGGGGCCTAAGCTGCCCGCGTTGGTCCCTGGGCCAACGCGCCTGGGAGTTATCCATCCTAGGCTTTTCGGGGGGCCCTTGTGGCCTGCCACTCAGCCCAAGTGTTGAATGGCCCTGGCGCCGAAGCGGCGCCGCGCGGTGACGCGGGGGCACGTTGCCAACTGGCCGAATTGGCGGGTGGGCCCCACGGGGCTCCCTGCCGTCCTCTTGTGGCGTTCCAGCGCACACGTGCACGCGCACGCGCGCGCGTTCGCGCGCACGCACGCACAGAGACGCACGCACACAGACACGCACAAACGCACACGCACACACAGACACACACACAAAACACACACACACACGCACGCGCACACGCACACGCACACGCACGCGCACGCGCACACACACACGCGCACGCACGCGCAAACGCACGCGCACACGCACGCGCACACGCACACGCACACGCACACGCACACGCACACGCGCACGCACACGCATACGCACACGCACACGCACACGCACGCGCACACGCATACGCACACGCACACGCACACGCACACGCACACGCACACGCACGCACACGCGCACGCGCGCGCACACGCACACGCACGCACACGCACGCGCACGCGCACACGCACACGCACACGCACACGCACACGCACACGCACACGCACACGCACACGCACACGCACGACGCCACGCACGCGCAGACGCACCGCACACGCACACGCACACGCGCGCGCACACGCACACGCGCGCGCACACGCACACGCACACGCACGCAC